TTTCCAGTCAAACTTAATGTAGCAGATTCATACATTGTAAAAATTCAAGACATAAATGACCACAGTTAAATGTATTGAAATCTTGTTAGTTAGAATAGTTATATACTATTTTAAACTCTTTAAAATAATGTTGTAATTCAATTGGTGGAGGTGAATCACCGAAGCTATCAAAATAAACAACTTTGTCTTGATTTTTATGAAACGCTACCCAATGACTTCCGTCACCTGAAGATATGTCTAAGTTTAATATACCACATTCAATTTTATGCGGTTTTTTAGGTAAGTTATCACGTGAAAAGACTCCACGAAAATGATTGATTTTTAACTTTCTAACATATTTTATAAGATCTTGAGACAACAGCGGTCTGTCAGGTAGCGTTTTTATTAGTTTTTTTTCTTCACCTCATTTTTGGTTAAACCATTACCTTTTTTTCTTTTAGAATTTTGATATGTATTATAAATACTAGCACTTCCAGACATCAAACTACCAAGTGCCGACAGTCCTGCAAATAAAGGTATTAAGGGAACTACACCTCCTGACTGTCCTGGTGCTAAGATCAGCCTTTTCCCATCATTATTTTTCCTTGACGTTCTTTTTTTCTTTGCTGCTAGTACACCATTTCTTTTTGTAACACGTTTTCGTTTACCTTTACAACCCATACATATTTTTCTTTTAGCTTTCATTGCTTTGAATCTTTCCCAAATCTTTCCCTGATTCTCTAACACTTCGTCTGCTTTATGTCTATCGTCTAAATTTTTACTTGATGCATATACAATATCATGATCACGGAAAGCAGTAACCAATAGGTTTATCCCTTTATCACCTTGATGTAACCTCTTTTTTAATTGTGTACCTGGTCTACAAAACTGATAGCCTGAAACATGGGGGCTTCGTATGGAAGACTATTTATAAGAAAGTTTACAAATCCTTTACCAGTCTTACTTGATTTGCACTTGCGAGTTGAACGTATCATCTATAACTGCTAATAAAATTAAAAAATCTTGAGTATTTATAAGAAAAAATGGATTTAATTGAACAGAAAGATAAATTAGATATTAGAAATGTAGATGTGCAATTAGCGAAAAGACCATCAAAAAGAACATGGTTCGTTATTACCTGATACTATTAGAGCCATACTATTTGGTCCTAGTTCATCAGGAAAAACGAATATAATGTACAATCTGATCACTCATGAAAACGGGTTAAGATTTGAAAATATTTATTTATACTCGAAACCTTCTAATCAAGAAAAATTTGTTTTATTAAAAAAAATAATAGATGGTATACAAGGCGCTAATTTGTTTATATTCACAAGCGCTGATAAAGTTATAAAACCAGACTTGACTAAGAAAAATTCCATTATCATTTTTGATGATGTAATATGTGGTCCACAATCTGTAATTAGAGACTACTTTAGCATCGGCAGACATTCAGGTGCTAGCTCTGTATTTTATTTAGCACAAACTTATTCTAAAATACCAAAACAGTTAGTAAGAGATAACTCAAACTTTTTAATAATACTGAAACAAGATGATACGAATTTACGACATATATTCAATGACCATTCATCCTCAGATATGGATTTTTCAAAATTTCGGAAAATTTGCCATTTATGCTGGAATCGTAGTAATTATGGGTTTATAGTTATCGATAAAACGAAGGAAATGAATGAAGGAAGATATAGATGTGGTTTTCATACGTTTATCAAAATAAGATAATTGTATTTATATACATATATATACATATATTATATATATATCGTAACACTGTTATTACCAGCATTGCGTTATCAGTAGTCATACGGTGTAGTTATATTCTGTTTATCATTCACAATGGACAGAGAAAAAGTTTTGTTAAAAAATCTTATAACATCAAAAAACAATATTAAACGTAAAATAATGGAAATGAAACGTGGTGTTATAGATTCTGATAACTATTTCCGTGAAGCGTTTAAACCAATAATTGAACCATTAAGTGCACAAATAGGAAAAAATAGTCAACGTAACTCATACCCAATTAAACAAAAAAATACAGAAACCTTATGTTCCAGTGATGAAGATAATGACAATGAAAAAAATTCATCATTTGCAAATTTTTTTTTTGTAAACGATCAAAAACACAACGTTATGATAAATCCTATGGTATACATTATGATAAAATTAGTGATTCGTACAAAATAAGGGATTACACACTTACTTTTAATCATGGTAACTTACAGTTGCTTAATAGATACTATCGATGGACTAAAGGGCTATGGTCTTTATTATGTGAGAAGAAACCAAAAAATCACACTCTAGAAGATATGGAATCTTATTATGATATTTTGAAAACAACTCATGTTCATTTAAAAGCAGATGGGAAACCCAAGACCTCAGGATACTTTAAATGGATGAATGTTGTAAAACAGTTGTATGAACGAATGAAAAATGAGGAGGAACAGTTAAACGAAGAAATAGCTAAAATTAACACCTCTAAAACTCCTCGAATTAACTTGTTACCATTTGGTGAACATTTATCTAGGTTGAACGCTAAACAAAGTAATGTTTGTAATAATACAACCATGAAACCATTTGAATTTAATCCAGAAGCAAACAGTTCAATGACTTCAGAACCCGTAGTTGAAAAGATGTTTAGTTTTACTTCTTCACCTCAGACTAAGCAAGGTTCTGGTTTATATAAAGATGTAATGCCACAAACACAATTAGTTTATTATGATGATCCGAATGAACTAGTTACTAGAATACATCTTTTAACATCATCACAGAGTGTTGGTAATACTGGCGTTAACAATGAAATCATATCTATTTTAGAAGAACTACGTGAGAGAGATATTATAGTATAATGACTACCTTAGAAGGTATAGCTAATGAGTTACACCGATCAGCAAGAAAAATATTTCCTAGACGTAGTGTGGTAACACGGTTTATTGATGACCTCTGGCAAGCTGATTTAATGGATATGCAATCTCACTCTAGACAAAATTATGGTTTTAAGTATATTTTAGTTGTCATTGATACATATAGTAAGTATGTGTGGGTGGAGTCATTGAAAAACAAAACATCAAAGGAATGTACAAAAGGCATGTTTAATATATTGAAAAAAGCTCATCCAAAATTGTTACAGACAGATAATGGTACAGAGTTTTTTAATATTGAATTAAAAAATTTAATGAAAAAATATAAAATTAGACATTACAGTTCATACAGTGTTATCAAATGTTCAATTTGTGAACGTGTGATCCAGACTCTGAAAAATAATATATATAAACATTTTACTGCAACAGGTACATGGAATTGGTATAATATAATATCAAAAGTTATACAAAATTATAATAATAACATAGAACAATTAAATGTACACCGAATGAAGCTCGAATGGATACAAACAAAATTAAATTTAATACACAATTTAATGATACATTGTATAAACCAAAATTAAAAGTTAATGACAAAATAAGAATATCTAAGTATAAACATATATTTAGTAAAGGATATACACCAAATTGGACAACTGAAATATTTACAGTTTCAAAAGTTTTACAGACAAATCCAGTAACTTATCAATTAAAAGATGGATTAGGCAATATAATCTTAGGTGGATTTTATGAACAAGAAATTAAATTAATTGATTTTCCAGACACCTTCCTCGTTGAACGTGTGATTAAAAAAGTTGGAGATAAAATGTTTGTTAAATGGTTAGGTTTTGATTCGAGTCAAAATTCGTGGATAACATCATCATATATTTTAAATTAAAGATTTTTTATGTATAATTCATTTATAGTAAAAATATATATGTTTTTTTTTATCAAGTAAAATTAGTTATTTTAACATATCTCCTGGTACTCTATAGTCTGTTTTAAAAACGTAATATATCCACAATCGATATAAGCCAAAAGCTCTATTTAGTGGTAAATTTATTCAATGAAAATAATAAAACTGTTGTATTATACCGCTAGATAATGCTTTTATACCGGTTGTTGAATCATTCAGTTTTTTATTAAATTATTTTGTCAGTTTGTAATGACCATACGCCAATGTATTTATCCCATCATTCATTATGTATCTTTTATCGTCATTGGCGCTGAGAACAAGCTTGTTCATTGTTTTCGAATGAACAACATGTTTATTTGATTGAATGAAATTCATGTTTCTGTGAGATTGTTTTTTCTCAACAGATCTATGGTTAATAAAAGCATTTAATATCTCTATGTAATCATTAAATTTCATATGGTTTTTTATTATATATTTTTTTACGCCTTTTGCTTTTTTTTCTACAGTATCATTTATGGTTTTATCAGCGTATAATTTTGGTCTCAATGAAACAAATTCTTTAAGAATTATTGATTTAAGTTCGTCCTTAAAAAATCCTGGTTGGCTTTTATGAATTTCACTAAAGCAATAATGGTCTTTAGGATAATTAGATGTATCAAAATATGGTAATAAATCATTTTTTAAATCATCGAAAAAATTTACTGTTTGAATAGCATATATCAAGGAATCTGTATCCGAATATAAAGAACTAATTTTTCTACCATATTTCTTTTTCATTACATTATAATGAAAATCATACATAAAAGTTTTCGAAACGTCTAAAATTACAGATCCTACGTTAATCGCTTTATCAAATTTAATAGTTTCCTTATGTTGATGAATAGCCATAAGATTCTTAGAGTATATAGTTCTATCCTTAAAATTAGTTTTTGTCTTTAATTTATTAGCTTTTTTTTTGACGAAACCAGTTTTATAGAAGTTCTTGTTCGAACATTCTCCATACATTTTCCAAAAACACTATTAATTAAAAGCTTCCAGAATTCTTTTTCAAAATCGTTTTTAGCTTCTGTTCTCATTTTAGTACAGAATTCAATGTAGGATGCCATCCATTTCTTTTGAGAAAAGCGGACAGCTCGATGAATTTTTACAAGTTTAAGACCGTGAGAAATCGCTTGTTTTAAATTTTTATAATGAACAATATAGTTTTTTTTCGGTAATAGTGTAGTTAACTATTTCTTAACTTTGGAATTTGGTGGACATTCGTTTAACGGTAAAAACGGGAAATCATTATGAGTCTTATGTAAATGTTTTGGATAGTCGATATCGACTTCTAATATATATCCAACTTCAGAATTATCAACAATTTTAGTTACGTCTATGTTTAAGTCATCAACCCATTCAAAATCTTTAAAAGGTAATTCCGTCAACATAGACTTTCCATATACATTTACACAATCAAGATATGTTATCCATGTAATCGGTTCCTTTGAATTATAATTCAATCCATCAATATTTGGTATGTTTGCTTTAGCAAATCTTTTAGTTGATTGATTTATCCCACCACGAATTGAATTCTCGATAAACAAAAGCATATTAGGACATTTTAACCTTTCTAATTTGATCTTAGTATATTTAAGCATACAATCATACGCAAATCCTGGAGCAGTCATATAATGAGCAGGATCTAATTCAAGAGTAGATAAACATAAGTCTCTGAAATTTTCAAACACGTCAGCTAGTATAGCAACATCAGTTTTTAAATAATGATCGCTATATTCACCTAATGTCTTTATATTAAACATGTTCCATACATTTTTCGCATGTATATAATCGTCATCAGTAATATTTTCATCGGTTAATGAGCTATAAAATTCAAGCTTTGAAGGTAAAAAAGAATCATCTAGTTTATTCCAACTATCGACATACTCATACGGGAAGGCTCCTTTTCGAGTAACTAGATCTAATACTTTAATAGAAAATACTTTAATAGTTTCTCTAAACTTCAACTTATCTTCGGATAAATTTTTTCCTAGTTTACTTAATTTTTCAGCTATAAAACGGTATGTATCAACAAACTTTATACTAAATTTTGGTGCGATTTCTTTACTAAATGATATATATTTTTCAGATGAATTAGGTATAACATGAATATCTTTATCGTTACACCCAAGTTCTCGAATTATGAAGTGACTGTCATATGTCAGATTATGAAAAAAGATTGGTACAAATGATGGACTAGTTAGCTGAAAATTACATTTAACACAAATACATCGTCTGTAATTTCCAGTTATATGACAGTGATCTCGAACTTTTAACAAATTATTATCTTTAAAAGATAATAAACATTTTTCACAAACCTTAGCCTTCTGGAAATGTTTTTCTTCTTTTAAAGTTAATTTGTTAGTTGGTAAATTAGTCTTATAAATATCATTAATTTTATTACCTATACTAATCATACTATTCATAAATTTTTTTGCCGCATTTTTACCACTATATATTGCTACTTTTCTAGGAATTTCAAACTTTTTTATTATTTTTTTCGGTATAATATTATAATCAACTTTTACATAAAATCCGTAACTCGTAAGTTTATGTAAATGTGTAATATGAGTTTTAGGTTTTTTACCAGTTTGAATGAATTTATCAGGTTGCTTAGCACTTAAAATACATTCAAAATCAGCGTATATAACAATTGAGATTCGTTGAGTATTTTTATAGTTTTTGAAATATATGAAATCGTCATCTCCTTCTTCAAACATTATAGGTCATCCTAATTTATTTTTAATACACATTTCTTTATGTCTAATTAATCCTGTTTCACCCCAAAGTTTGCTTTTACACGGCTTATTTCCAAAACTTGTAAAACATCCCTTACATATAATCAACTTTGAGCAATTTTTAGTTCTTTGGCTTCTAATAAACCTCGAGAAGTTGTTAATGTAACAATAATGAGATGTATTATTATTATAAAATAGAAATAGGTCAAAATGATTTTTTTTTTCAATATTGGTTATATGTAATGGGTAAATTACATTTTTATCATCTAAGCTGTAAATAATAATTGATACATTGTTTATTTTTTCAAATTTTTTTATCTGAGTTATAGGTGTTGGAAAATTAATACATTTAAAATTAAACCCACTTTTTTTTTCTAACATATCAAAATATTTTTTGTTAAACCGAGATTTATTCAATCGATTATCGTATTTACTTAGTATTGAATACTTGAAACATTCGTTATCGTTATTTTTTATATTTATAACTGCTTTTTTTTTTTTTTATATGATCAGGTAAATCTAAATATGTATTTCCTCCTTTAAGAGGATTAACTTTATTGATTCGTAATTGTATACAATCTATAGATTTAAGTGACCAGCCTGATTTTTTTGATATAAACTGTGCTTCCTCAGATAATAGTTTGTCAAACATTTTGTTTAATAAACTATTAAAATCAGATGATTTACATGCTAATACGTTTGAAGTTTTAAACGACATATCCTGTACTTCACCCGTTAATAGTTGTTCATATGTGCTATCAACATGTAAATTAAATTTTATTGTTGACTGGTGGTTTGATTGTGTTAACCTAGAATTTAACATTTCAGAAACATAACTAAAAAATACATGGTAGTCTATTATTTCTTCCTTATTCTTAACAATAAACGTTCTCGAACAGCTTTTAAATCGTTCAATTTCGATAAGTTCGCCCTCAGCTGATTCCATCCGTCTACGTTTAGTGATTGTATTTTTTTTCATTATGTAGCTGTAAATAAATGTATATGAAAAAAAAAATAATAATATATTCGTTCATATTCCTAACTGATTGAGATTTAATTATTAGTGTATCAGATATTCAGCATATTGTAGTGTACGTTTTAATTATTATTTCATCAGAACATAACAGAAAATGAAATTAAAGTATATTATTCAACGACAAATCACAGCCACCGAACGTGATCGGATTTGGATCATACGAACGCGTTGTAAGGTCATGATAGTGGTATGCGAAGTGGGCAGCAACGAGCGTGCGATTCACCCACAACGCTGGAACTTTTGCCGTCTACGCACATAGACCTAACGTACGTACCGTACAATCACTTCTGTGGAACATAATTCGTACCTGACACGTACAAGTTATACACAACAATTATACACCGTTGTGGTACGTGTCGAACTCGAATTTTTACGAATACACTTTCTGTTATATTAAATTACATTATAATGGCATATACATATATACCTATTAATGTTAATGATAGATTAATATATATTATAGCTAAGTTTTAGAATATTTTTAGTCTATATTCAAAGATTTTTCTAATTGTTTGGACGGTGAAATTAAAGAATTTCGTACAATTAATTTGCATGTATAAAATGAATATTGTGATTGTTGTTCGTAGTTAAGTTTTAGTTTTTTTTTTCATCTTTCAATTTTTTAATTTTTTGGTTTATATCAATGGTGTCCCGTCAGTTACAAAGATGCAGCCAAAAAACGACGTAGCTGGCCGACGGTAGGGCCAGCAGATACCAAATCTACTTCAACTTCACTTTACTCAACAGCCAACATGCATGCCTCTTACCACTTAAATTGTACTATCTGTAAAAACACTTTGGCATCTTCTCGTAATTTTTTAAATGAATTTAAAAGTTTTGTTAATAAGTTTTCTACACATGAACCCTTAATCAATACTGATACTAATGTTGTTATTCAAAAAAAATATGTGTCCTCTGATTCTAATATTGTTTGTAATTCTCTAAAAACCTACTACCTGAATGTACGTGGCCTTAGAACTAAACTGAACACTCTCAGGTGCAACTTTATTTTATTGGATTCTTATGATATAATTATATTAACTGAAATTTGGCTCACACCAGACATAGGTAATGCTGAACTAGGTTTCGTTGGGTTCCATATTTTCAGATTTGACAGGAATTTATATACAAGTCCATCCACCCGTGGTGGTGGTGTCCTCATTGCAGTAAAATCCAACCTTAATGCTTCCTTAATACTCAACAATTGCCTTAACGTAGAACAAGTATTTATAGCTCTAACATTTTTAAAAACTAAATTCTTAATCGGTGCTGTTTATCTACCTCCTAATTCTTCTGCTGACGTATATGAACAGCACTCACATACTGTTGAACAATTAGTATCCGTATATTCTCCTTGTAACATAATTATTTGTGGCGATTACAACATGCCAGGCATCTTTTGGTCACGTGATAACATTGGTCTTAAAATATTGGGGTGCTCCACACGTGCATCCACGCTCATTGGGGACTCGTTCTCTTTCCTAAACTTCTTCCAGATCAATTCTCATTATAATACTCATGGCAGCCTGCTGGATTTTGTTTTTTCAAATTCGAGCGAACTTTTAGTATACAAGTCTAGTCTATCGTTAGTGATCCCTGATCCATACCACCCACCTTTAGATATTAATTATATTTTAGAACGTCCGCATGGTATCAATAAACCTAGAAAGTTTAGGGATTTTAAAAATGTAGACTATGAACCTATAAATTAATTTTTATTATGTACAGACTGGGTATCAGAACTTTATAACCGTAGCACCAACGACGCCGCCTCTTTCTTTAATAGTAAGCTATCAGAGGCCATTGATAAATTCATACCTTTCAAAACATTTCATGAACATAAATTTCCTCCCTGGGTATCTCCTGAACTTAAAAGACTAATTTTTCAAAAAAAGCGAACCCATCTTACTTTTAAAAAATCAGGCCGATCGTTAGACTATAATGTTTTCTCAGAACTGCGGGCAAAATGTAAATATCTTTCAAAGTCGAATTACCGCGCGTATATTGGAAAAACAGAAAGAGCATTGTTCAGCTCTCCACGTAGTTTCTGGAAATATGTACGTGATTTTAAACAGTATCCTGAAATTCCAATTTCAGTACACTTTGGCGATAATTCATCAAACAATCCTTCTGAATCTGCTAACCTTTTCTCAGACTATTTTAAATCAGTCTTCTGTTCTTCTACCCCAAACCAATCCCAATTACACAGTTCTAGTAGGCTGCCATTTGATCTCCCTTCAGATATCAACTTCTCACCAGAGGATATTCTTTCAATACTATCTACATTGTGCAATAAAACCTCCACAGGTCCGGATGCAATCCCGGCCCCTTTTCTTTTCAACTGTCGTTTGACTATCTATATTCCGTTGTTCCTTTTGTTTAGAAAGTCTCTAGATGAATGCACGTTCCCTGAAATCTGGAAAATCTGTTCTATAACCCCTGTTTTGAAATCTGGTGATGCTTCAGACGTCACTAATTACAGACCAATATCAATAATCTCACATATTGCCAAGGTATTTGAATCTGTCGTTTATCATTGCATTAAGCGTAGCCTTAATCATGTATTGATTGATGAGCAGCATGGTTTCAGGCCAGGTAAATCTACCTGCACAAATGCTGTTTCCTTCCTATCGTACATTATTGATAATATTGATTCTGGTTCTCAAATAGACGTTATAATCACTGATTTTAAAAAGGCATTCGATACGGTCAACCACGAGCTGCTTTTTTACGAATTAGAACGTCTAGGCCTTGGATATCCGTTGCTTGGATGGTTCAAATCTTACATTACAGGTAGAAAACAATTCGTGAAAGTGGCTGGGGTATCATCCTGCGTAATCGACATTCCATCAGGTGTTCCTCATGGGGGGCACTTAAGTCCTCTGCTGTTCTCTCTTTTTATAAATTCTCTGTCCCAACACCTTAATAGGGCCAAGTGTCTTCTCTTTGCTGATGACATCAAACTATTTTTAAAAATTGACTCTGCGGCTGACCAGGCTGTTCTACAGAGTGAGCTTAATTTGTTTTCTACCTGGGTAGATCGTCTTGGACTGGTACTCAATCTTGACAAATGTCATTCAATTACCTTCACTAAATCACGTTCATCTACCAATAGAACATACTCCATCAAAGCCATTGCTTTCCACTTAAACAAGTACTCCAAATTAAAGACCTCGGTATCCTCTATACGTCTTCTCTTTCATTTAACCAACATATTGATTCCATAGTAGCACGTGCTCTTAAGGTTCTCGGATTTATTAAACGCAACACAAAACATTTCACATCAGTAAACTGTCTTCGTTCCCTCTACTGTACATTAGTGCGATCAATTCTCGAGTATGGAGTTGTGGTATGGCACCCATACCTTGCACAACACCAGCATAAGCTAGAGCAAGTACAAAATCGATTCCTAAGCTACTTAGCATTTGTGACTAAAACTGATGTGTCCCCTCATGACTATGTTCAATTACGTAATATGTTTAATATCCCTTCTCTCTCTTCTCGCTGCACCGATATAGATGTACACTTTTTAACTTCCCTTCTAAATGGTACCCTCGACGCACCTAATTTACTTGCTGTAATTCCATTCAAAGTTCCTACCCGTGGAACACGAAACCTAGACCAGTTTTATATTCCCCACCACTCTACTGCCTATGGTTACAATCATCCACTTCATAGAATGCTCAGAGTCGCTAACCTAAATGTGCCCTAGTTGTTTTTACTGCGTTCTAAGGCTGCTTTTGTTATTTTGTACGCTCTAGTTGTTGCTATAGAGTTCTTACACTTTATCAATGTTAATTTTTAATTTTTAATTTAATTGTTATTACCTACATAATATGTACTATTGTTAACTGCCGATTGGCGTAAAATATATATAAATAAATAAATAAATTATTCTTATTTTTTCTTTATGCATCTGTTCTTCTTTATCTTCGTTTAAATTTCCTTCACGCTGTTCATCATCTTTTTCAATTTGTACTTCAATGAACGAAGTTTATTCCATTTTATTCTTTTATTTTAAAACTGTAAATAGTAATATTTATTCAATAATTTATTAACTCAATAAAATAAAACATTAGAATATCTTATATTTAATTTTTACAACTGTTTATTCTTTTTTTTTTTTTTTAAGAGCTTAAATATAACATAGATTATACATGAAATATGGTTACATTTTCAATTTAAAACATTTAAAACATTCAATTGGTTACATGAATATGGTTTTAAGAAAAAAAAAATAATAAAATAAATAAGTAATTTTATTTTGAACGGTATATTAATTGCTTATCGTTAAAAGAATCGTAGCGATTTTAATATTTACTATTATCCTTCGACATCGTTTTTACAATATATTAAATAACAATATAATTAATGTTGTAAAGTGTATACATTTGAGATATTTTAATAGTTATACATTTATATAAATATAAAATGAGAAATGTGAAATATTTTTGTAAGAAAACGGTAACACTCGTTTGAGTGACAATCTTAGACAATTGTTTTATTGTTAGTTAAAATTTTAACGATGAGATATATTTCTCATCATCTCTAAATCAAAAAATTCTGAATATGTTACAGGTACAGGTACGGTGTTCATATTAATAGGGAACGGGTTACTTTCTAAATGAACCCCTTTTGTTAAGAATCGACGACATAATATACATCGTGTATAGTTACAATAATCTTTAAACGCTTGTATATCTTTAAATCGAATATACTGGTATAAAGGATTGTAAGTTCGAAACGTATAAGCACTAGATCTTTCATGATGATAACATGCACTGCTACACCACTTTTGGTCCTCTACATTTTGTATACACAGTTCAACTAATGTATAATTTCCAAGTGAATCGGTTAAAATATTTAATACAAAGTCCTTAACCATAAATGGATAATAATCTCCTACAAACATACAGATGATTTCAGGGTTAAAACGATAATAT